AAATATATTCCTATAAAGTGACAGCAAAATATTTTAGATCCGGTACAAGCACTTCAGAATAAAAAGTTAAGGAGTATGGTATAAAGGATATCAGTAGTGAAATACAGTCCACGATCCAAAATCACCTCCCGCTCTTCCTAGGACTAGATCTTATTAGTGCGCTTCATGCCTCCTACTCGTGCCTATGGGTTGTTTTGAGTCCCACAGGCCTGAGTGATTTCAAATTAGACCCTTGAACTTCAAGAAGAACTTCAATTGTGGGCCTCTTCATTCGAGTTATACAAGTTTCCTGTAATGTGTGTCTTTCTCGATGCAATGTATTTTGGTGCAAAACGAATAATTTTGTCGTCTCTTCTGTTATCTCTGGCCTTCCGGTGGTCATCTCAGCTGTGGCCAATCCAGCAATGGAGCCAAACTATACGATATTTACAAGTGTTTTTATTGAGGAGCGCAAATCTCTGGCTGCCGCCTTTAGTGCATAGCTTCCCCTTCCAAGCTTCTCAGTGAAGTGTTCATTGACATTCCTGTATTCGCGCATCAACCTAATCAACTACCATCTCAGGTGCGTAGCTATCCCTTTCTATCTACCCAGATCATCGTTGAATGAAACTACGTCAAATGTAGCCACTATAAAGAAAGACGGAACGGGTTTTTGCATTCAAAGATGGTGCTGACGATGATGACGATTAAAAGAGGAACGTATTTTAATGATTATTTGAGCCCAGCCTCTGGGAATGGACGTACACGGAAAGGAAATGCTTGTAAATTTTATCCATACTTATTAGAATGCCTAAACCGACACAGATTTGCTTTGTGCTCCACTTCGCATTGCACCATAAACACAAGGCTTTGCAATGAAATCGCAGAGTGGAAACACAAAGCGCAGCTGCTGCGCTTAAATGAGGATAAGTTTTTGTGGGTTTTCGTCAGCTAGACCGACTCCTTTTACTGTATTTTTTTCTAAAGAATTCATTGTCTAATTTTCTCAAGTTCCATGTCGTCTCCCGTGAGAACGCACCGTGCAGAAGTTTTGACCCTGACTGTGTTGTCCTCCAATAGAAAATATCGATTAAGCTCACGTCAAGGGAGAGTTACCTCTATCTTCACGAACAGGTATATCTGACAAGTAGGTAATCTAACTAAAGTTCTCAAAGCTACGGTTGAATAGACAAGATGGTTGAAGAATTTCGTTGGGAGTGTGTCCCACTTGTAGAATCATGGGCCTTGGCTTCCGGATTCGCAAAAATTCCGGATACTATCCAAACAATTGGGCTACTTTCCCCACACAATCTATACACACAAGAAGGCAGACGTTTCAGGAAAATCAAAGTATATGTGTTGAAGCCAGCCTTCGCAAAGCGTGACACCGGGGACTGGGTCACAAATCTGAGTCATAACGTATCATTGATACACTAGTCCCTCCTCTTTTACAACTACTCAGAAATGGTAAATTGTATGAATGACCCAAGAGCCGATCAGAACAAAGCACCTAAAAAATGAACTTAAAAAGCTGCAAGTCTTAATGTCGTCTGTCGGTCACCCAGTGAGTCACGTGACCCGTTATTCCACCCCCCCCTGATGGGTCCTAATAAGGACAAAAGACCCGTTGTAACTAAGATTTCGGGATCCGAGTAAACCTCTGATAGTACATATAGTGTTAGATAAAATTGCACAATACCTTAAGCTTGTCTTCAAAACTCATTTTGGAGAACTTATTGATCCCCTTTGACACCAGAACGTGAGTGATGGGCATTTTGGCTGGCCAGTTGAATGGATGCTAGTGAACACTTTGTAAACGTCAACATGAATATGAAGCACAGCATACTGAAACCACATTCTTTGTGAATAGGGTGCACAAGGCGTGGATATTCAACCAATTTTCATGACATGGGGACAGATGTTACAGAGCTTTGTTTACTGTCATTTGCAAACCCATCTAGCGTACTGTATGCTCTGCTCAGTGATCAAATATAGGAACTCGTGGTCTTATCTTCGTCAGATGTTTAGTTCGACCACTTATGACAGCATACTGTATCGGACCACCACATGTAGCATAATGATGCATACGTTCACGATAACGTGATACCCTCTCGACAGCCGCCATCAACTGTGATTTTCTTATCTGATGATGATGTGCTGTGGTTGAAGCTTCACGATACCGATTATCAGAGTTCCCGCTTGATGTAGTTGATCTATCGCAGCTAGGTGAGAAGTACATTCGATATTTGGGAAATTTGTACTTTTGCATGCCAGAATGCGCGAGGCTGGCAGTTTCTGAATATTCACGACCATGCGGATTGCCATCATGACGATTGAAAGAGTTTGAACTTTCTCGGAACCTGTTCCGTGCGTTTCGCTTTGTAATAGTCTGCTTTATCTGCTCAGTACGGCCAATAGAACGTGTCAGACTGGGTTGTCTGCTTTCTGTTTGTGACCTTTGACAGCTTACTGCATGGTGTTCCACAAAGGTTTCACAACCTGTGTTGGGTGTCGGCTGTGAACTGCGAACTCCTGATACTTGAAGATGTATTTGAGTGGCGGGGACCGAACGGAACGTTTGTTGTCGAGCACGTCGTTTGACGTTAGACAATAGGTGCTGTTGAACGGCGAATAAGTAATTAATGTATGTCTGTGTATCCCAGCTTTGATGTCGGTTATATAAGCTGTACATGGAAAATATGGATGGTTCTAAGGCAGAACGATAGTACTGATGTGATCAACGTTTAAATCGGGGCATATTGATTTTTCTCCCATAAGGTTACATCACCTGATTAGGGATGCAACGTCATCTCGGTTGGCTAGCACGTAGCAGAGTGTTTCATCTTAGCCTGCGGAGAAACTCGGTCCAACCAACGGAATCGTATACACTGGTGGATAAACTTGGTCAGATATACCGAGACATAAGCTCCATCTTATCCTTTCACTCGAAAGTGTACGAAAATTATTTCAATGCGGCTTCTATTCAGTACACAAGGCGATGCTTCCGCTCGGCACTCATTTTCGCTCTCTTCACCTATTGGGGCTGCATATTTGCTGCGGCCTACAACACTGGTGCGTTTGAAGAGCACATCATGAAGCTATTTCTGGTTCTGATGGTAGCAGCGTTGCTCCTTTATCTTTTTTCTTATAACAAATACAGCCATCAATGGTACTCACGCACTTCATGTGCCGTTCTAGCCGTGGCGTTCTCCATATCCATGATCGGCTCTATGGAAGTAATAGTCAAGTGGATTTCTATCATACCGTATTTAGAAATGCTGTTCAGTTTGTGTATTATATTACCTTTAACGCTCGATTTTACGCTGTCTTTGATTGTGTCGTTTTCTTTTGCCTACATGAATGCGGCGGAACATCAGATTACTTTCACCACCTGTGGCAATGAAACTTATTCGTATGGGACTAACCTAACCGATGATCAATCGCGCACCCTGAGTTTTTACTGTGGCATCAGGCATGGTGTTACAATTGAGTTTGCTTTGTGCGTTCTGATCTTCATTACAGGTATGTACCTGCAGTTTTGGAATACAATAAGACGAAGAGCTGCTTTCATCTACATTGGACAGGCCGTGCACCTGCAACGACGAAACCGAAAAGTTTTAGCGACAAACGAAAGTCTGAGGGATGTTCTTATGCCTTCATTTATCTGGCACAAGTACGAAGGCAAAGAAAACCTTCGTCAAACCTATGCAAACAGAAGACTTTACCTCCAGTCAGCAGTGGATGTAACAATTCTCGTCACTGAACTAGTCAATTTCCGTGAACTGATTTCAACTCAAGACATACAGACAGTTGTACTGATCATGTCAGATATGATAGACTACTTTGATCGGAAATCGAACGAATACGACTGTGAGCGCTTGGCTGTTCTTCCTGACACCTATGTATATACTTGTGGTGTTGTTAAATCACGAATGAATCACGCAAGATGTTGTGTGGAACTGGCCCGTGCTATGGTGCATGTAAATGAACACCTGACCTTAGAACGTAGTCACTTGGTTCTTTTACGAGTCGGAATCCACACAGGGAAGGTTACGATTATGGTTTGGGGAGGCAGAAAAGTTCATTATGACTTGATTTCTCCAGATGTCTTCATTGCGTTTCACGTCAAAGATTCTGGTCCTCCAGGTTACATAACGATTTCGGATGACACTCACACACGAGTACACATGAACTTTCCGACAGAATTAGGCGAGAGGCTAATCTTACAAACTGAATGTTTAGTTGATGGGAAGTTCACCGTACGTTCTAAGGCGCTACAAACGTATTACGTAACGCAGGAGCCTACTGAAATGGAAGGTTCAATTACTTCCTCTGTCAAGTCGGAACATGGTCTTTTTGAGCGTTGTGTACACCTGCTGGGCCAAATTCGTGCGAGTAAATCAAGAAAACCGACACTCCTCAATCAAGACTTCGCAAGTGAGGCATTTGCTGCGGCAACAACAGTCGGACGTCGCAGCGTATTTTGTGTCTCTCCAAAGGAATCGGCCATCCCGAACACCTCTATTCATTGTAATGGAGAAATATCTCGTTGGAACAAAGATCGAACTGAAGAATTAGACAGCGGCAAACCCTATCAACTCGACGCAGAGGTTCTGCGTTTGATCACTCAGCTTCGTGCGGACCCAAAGCGGCAAATCACATTGATGCAGTATATTCCAGTAGGCACCTGGTCAAACGTTTTTACAAATCGAGAACTAGAGTGGCATTATGTAAACCATGTTCAAGACCCGAACAATCCTATCTATATTGACTCGCTAAAACTGGCACCCGCTATGGACGCCATAATGATCCTGGTGACAACGGTCACTTTACTGGTCTGTTCGATGACCTTTACTGGGTACGAAAGGAGCGACAGACGTATTTTCATCTTGTATGCATTGGAAGTGTTCGTTGCACTCCTTCTGTGTGTATGTGTCTGCTGGACGAGCACAAGATTTGTACAGTCTGTGACCGCAGGTGTGGGACGTCGTCTATTTGTCATCATGTCCAGAAATTCCACGAGGCAATTTTTTGTCTTCGTTCTAACTATCCTACCAAGCATACATTCATTTATCTTCTTTTCGCTGCTTGAGGTAAACGTTGTTGGAGAGTTACGCTCGAACAACGCACTCATTGTTTTTAACACCATTTCGATCCTCAACATAATGGTTGCTACAACTAATTCAAAATGGATAGGTATTCTAAGTTTGTTTATTTGTCATTTCGGTTACTTGTACACCTATGGCACTATAATTGAGCCAAAACGGTTCAGTCCATCCACTTGGGGCAGTATCAACAGCTTATTAATGGCAGAAGAATTGATGAGTGACCAGCTGATTAGAGTTTGTACATCCTTCATTGTGGTCTTGACGATGATTAACCTGAACGAGAGAAATTGTCGCCTGAACTTCATTGCAATGCGCGAGCTGCAGATCTCTCGTGAGGAGTCGGAAATCTACCATACCAGATTACGAGAGATGATGAATCATTTACTGCCGAGCTATGTTAAACGGCAGCTCCTACGTTCACGTTTTAGTATCCCAAATTCTTCTGTCAAACACCACAATGCAGAATGGGAAAACGTTGGAGTTGCTGTTCTCTATATGTCGAATTTGTACATCACACACTGGAATTTAGAATCCGCTCAATGGGAGCTGAGTTTGAAGGTCCTGAACTTGTTTGTGTGTACCATTGACGATATGATTTCTAGTGGAAGGTTTACTGAGCTTGAGAAAGTGCGCTTTTTCAATGATATGATCGTACTGGCCAGCGGACTGAACCAGTTTACGACCTGGGATTGTTCCGATACAACACACATGGATATACTCGTTGAATTCTGCGTTCAAGCCCAGCGTCGAATGCAACGGATCAATAGTGAACACCTGTCAAAGAAACGAATGATTGATTTGAAGATTGGCTACACAAGAGGGCAGGTTACGACGGCAGTAATCGGTCTGCGGAAACCAACGTTCGTTGCTTGGGGAAGATCTCTTGAAGTGGCAGAAAACGTCGCTCGTAATGCCTTTGCGCACGAAGTACAAACAGTTTTTGAATGCACCTTGATCTTGTCCGCGCAGTATGAGGCTATTTTGGCCGGAGTGATACCTGTTGAAAACGAGGGTCTTCTCGACACTTATATTGTTCGACCGCACCGGTAGAGCTCCAAGACTGCTGTGGGGAATTTTCAAATGCATTTATATCATGACTTTTCTAGAATTAAGAACCCTGCCTGTAAGCCTGATTACAGCATAGAAATAAAAGTTTATCCGCTTGTTCGTGATCAAGCTTAACACATTACCAGTGTCGTCGCGCCAAGGGTATTGATGGCGCAGACTGATATTAATGGCCTGAATGAAAGTTACAGCCTCGATCCAAACCCAAAAGTGTCATCCATAGGTGCAAACCATGTCAACTAGGCATTCATCCCTGTATGCCCCAACGTTTAGTACCTGAGAAGCAGCTTAAAGTTATCCCTCTGTTCCTCCCCCTCATCATCATCATCATCATCATCATCATCATCATCACCATCAGCAACATCAGCAACAGTGGTGACTATTGGTAATGCGCTACCAAATAAGAGTGGTAATGTGGTTGAAAAAGGCCTTGGGCCTACCAGAAAAATAATATAGGAGAACAAATAGGCATGGCACCACCCTATCACATGTATCCTTAGTGAGCCACAACTAGTCAGCAACTGCTCATCTGCAGTTACGTACAGTTCTGTGTTCAATTGTGACTGGTGGTTGCTCGAAACTCCGGGATTGGACCTGCTTTACGATCCCCACGAGTTGTGAAACCGCTAGTGAGCTGTCGAAGTGTTTTCGGCAACTTCATAAGTAGTGTGTGATATCTGAAAAAGAAAGGACATTGAGAAAATTTATCGAATGAATATGAATTAGAAGGCGATGGAAGAGCAACCGAGTAACACAAACCACAAGGCGAATACAAGGTTGACCCGTCATAACTCTACGGTGTACCTCTCGGGTATCCGAAAGATAGCTGACACCATCACGACTCGCCTGCACTATCAAGCCATTTGTAAACAAGAGCGTGTCCTTTTCATAACGTCCTTCTGAAGCCAGCAAGGTCTACAGTATGGAAAATAGAATAAACCTACCAATATAGTACATTTGCGTGATGGCTACCTGCTGACCGCAATAATGTGAAGGCTTCAACTCTTCTTCATTCCGTTTAACAGGAAAATGTATGCGTCTGATGACGATTTTTAAACTAGTATTTTTGATTCCGGTCTTTTTGAGGGACATATTCGCTTCCCTTCCGGTGCCTAGCTGCCATACCACCCGAAGGAAGCACGAGGGCTGGGATAATGCCAGGTGGCAAGCGACTATCAAGCGTTTAAGTTCCTGCTCCAAGCCCTAGGGGGTGCGACATACTTACGAAGCCTTGATGTTCTGCTTCGTTTGATATGAGTAGTTAGGATGAGGGATGAGTGTATGAGGACACATCACAAGCAATAGGCTGCCGCACTCGGGTCCTTTAGGAAGACCGCTGTAAATGTTTGCTTTTGTCTCATATCCTGACCACTTTTCCTCCGTTTTAAAGAAGACACGAAGTAGCAAGACGTGAATCTGTGGGTGGTCTGAAATACCCAGGCATGCAGCAGCGAATAATTGAGGCCCATACTCAATGTGTAAAGCGGTTGCGTCGAGTAACGCACGTTTGCCTTTTCGTGCACCATCGCTTTGTCATTTTGCACCTCAAGCAAGCCGTTCTCCTCTTTAACTTTTCCCCGCATAAATCTCGGGCTTCATATGCCTCCATGGTTAGGTAGGACCATTAATGCACGCCCTAATAAAATTAAATGCTGGAACTAGGACAAGTTTAAATCCCTACCTCACTCTACCTATGCAAGCATGGGCAAGGCAGACAAGTTACACCTAGTGTGTCCTCCAGGTACATGCAGGGTGGGAGAACAAAGCACTGAAGTCTAAGGAACAAAGAAGTTTGTGTCTAGATCGGTCTATTTGAGGTACGTGAGAAGGGCCTGTGCACTTTACACATGACGATTTCGGGTAGTTGGCATGTTTCACCTCCACTAAGTACCCAAAGTAGTGTAGAACAGGTTGACGGAGCACACAGAATAGAGATGTGAAGAAAAGAGCGATCAGTCAAGGGGTCGCACCCACCGTGTTCAGGCTCTTAGGGTCTCCATTAGCAGTAGTTGACTCGATGCAGCATCAACCTCAGCTGATCTCCAACTGACAGTCGTAGAATAAATATAGACAGGCGTCTTCTGGTCTACGCGCTGCTGACCGGCAGATTTGCATCAGGTCGGAGCCACAATATACTCTATTCACAAGGTCTGAAGCACGTTTTACGCAAGAAAAGCGAGATTCCTCTGAATTTGAAAGGTTTGAGTTGGCGAAATGCCACTTCTTGATGCAATCGCGTGAACGTTGACTTATTGACTTGTCAATAATTGTTAATAATTGAGAACTGCATCGGTTGAAACGTGCTGGTGGTCTGCAATAAAACGAAAATACACTGTATTTCAGCCCAAAAGCGTACTTGGTAGGGAAGAAATCTTTCAGAGGTTTGTTTCTGAGAAAAAACAGTTTTCAGTGCAGACGATGGACTGTACGCCAAATCGGTAAGATTTTCCTGTTGAAGATACTAGGGCTGCTCGGTTCGACATTGTGATCGCATGATCTACCAAATGGAGAAATGAGGAGCATTTTTTCGCGAGATTCCTGGCCAGGCAAGGATTACTGTCATATGGAGCACGTGGGCGAAATTCTTACTTAGATTCGCTATTGATTAAACCACATGAGCACGACTGTTCACAGCGACCTGCCCCACTGAAATAGTGCTTGACAGATTATTCTATCTTGATTAGTACACCTACGTAATGCCATTGAGGTCCAAAATAGCCAGTCGGTTATAGGAGGCCAACAGATTTAGGCGTCTCTTTTTCACTGCACACAATTTTCGGTATTCATACTTCGCTGCAGAATGTGCACATAAAATACGTCGACAAGCGGATAAATTGCTGCACAGATTTTTCTTTTCGACAGCTTATTGAGCATTTTAACATGTAAGACGGCACTTATGCCCGCTGGTCAGTCCCAAAGTCCCAAATGATCTTGTGAGTGAAATCACACACCCAAGGCCTGCCTTCAGATCAATTTTCTAATCATGTTAACCCTCGATACGGCGGTCCGTCAAATAGTGTCTCTTTGCTCATTTGCACATTTCCAGCAATTTCCACAAGGCACATTGGCCGGAATTTCCAACCATCCCTGATGTCTAATAGTTGATCTTGCGGCAAGACGTGCACCTCATTGTATTCTCTAGGTTTCGATTAACGTTTCGTTGACTGACTGCTGGGCCAGTTTGTGGTGAACGGAGAACGGAAGCGAGCGTGAGGGCGAACATCAGCCTGCCCTGAGTCTGAATGGTCATTTACGCTTAACACAATCTGCATCGCAGTTTCTCGTTAACTGCAGTGTAGTCTAGATATCTCAGTAGTTAGTCCGGGCACGATGGTCTCCAGGTGATACAATGAAGCCATTAATTTAAAAGTATCGTTGTCAGAGATCCAGCTCGTGAGAGAAAGTTTAACTTGTTATTGCAGCTAAGCGATTAGCTGACGTTAATTGCTTCGCACCAGCTGATTTCGTGCTCCGTCAAACCACTTGTCTGTCGCCGCACTTGCGCCATGCGTTTGAACGTATATTTCAGGCGAATGCAGCTGATCTGGTTAGTCACGTTACTATGGGGACATATTTAGTGTAAACATGTGGTTCACCGAAATAGTCGAATTGCCTGTCTGCGTTTCTCAACAGACTGAGACACTGCCAACACTGGATTAAATGTCCGATGGGTCCTGCTGGCACAAACCTATCAATACTAGCCGTTTGTCTGGTACGTTTAAAGGAAACTCGAAGAAAAAGCGCTAGGCAATCGGACACTGGTGAGTGGTCCAGCGCAGTATCACTCGTGTTTCCATCCAGTGGCAGGTGTGAATTGTCGCGCTTGCTATCCCTCAATGAATATCGAATATGCAGCGAACTCCGCTACTAAGTCACATCCAGCTCTATGGCTAAACAGTTATGGGCAGGCTTCCAGATGTTGACCGTCAAACCCGATGCAAATACCAGTATATATATTATCATATGTTGGCTGTAATTCGAACGTGGGAAGCACGGTTTTTGTGTGAAGGATAGAAGCTCGCTAGGTATAAGACGGATAAATGATCGCAAAAGCACTGTACAGCAGTGAACCAATTGTTACCGTCAGCATCCAAAAAAGTGGGACAGTAATGGCATGAGTACATACGATACAGCATCGTATCAGTCTTGATCTACGCACACGATGAGATAGCATATAATCACTGGGATAACAGCTTTGACCGTTGCAATTTTCCATCATCCCTTAGGTTTGTATGGCTGAAGCGAGGTTGTACCCGGCCGGAACAAATAACGAAGAGAATGCTCAGTGCTTGCGTTATACCTGCCGATTCGCCAATCTGTTGCATCTGACTGCTGACCCCGCTCCAGTTCCTAGTGCCGAAAAAAGGCTCACTGAAGGGAACACAACCGCTTTATTCCTAACAGCGAGTGCGAGAGCGTAAGGGCAAAAAATACAACGGTCTCAAGCCATTTTATTGGAGGTACACCGTCTGAACTTGGTCCAAAGCCGACTCACACTGTCTTGCTTTGATACAGGGCTGTGACGCACAGAATATTGAGAGAGCGTTGTCTGTGTGGTCTCAGTAGATTACGGGTACTCAGTAGTTACTTTCAGGAATCTGACCTTCCTGATATCTTGTGATGCCAATGACAATGAAATGATGGCAACTGACTCTGACATCATAGTGGTCACCAGAGCGAACCTGTTAAGTCTACAAATCAACTACCGCCGGCTGAGGTAAGTCTATTGAGAAGCAAATAAAAACCGCTTTCTCCAGGCTTAAATGAACACAGCGTACTCAAACACACCTGCTTACGATGAACTGACGGTCGTAGTTTCAAAACAACATGTTTACTATCGCATTCACTGTTCAGCATTCATACGCCGCGACAAAACGCACACAACACATAGGTGTGATTATTACGTGTACGCCTGTATGCGTCATTCACTTCGTCAGCTCCTAAAACGCGGATGTACCTAGGACAGAATCTACTCTAGCCCGTATGGCAGCCACAGGACCCCCAAAAGCGGTCGGACGCCCATGGTTTTATCCCCGAACTAGCCTAGCCTCAATCATAACGCTCGATGTGCGTTATTCGCCCAGATTTACTGCGGACAAGTATGATAAACAGTTTTACAAACATTACACTGAGGGGGAGTAACTAAGGTAGCGTGATGGGTGAAACACTAGATGATTCTGTGTTAGTGAATGGACCCTAATAAGTCTCTCCGTAAACTGGCTAAATTGCTGTCTTAGCTCACAGCGCGAGACATTCGTCTGTGGATGCTGCAGGCCCTTAATAAACTGTCTGAGTCACATTGTGGGGCCTTCTCATATCTCGTGTCCCTTAAATGGACACGATTAGCTATCGGTTTTCCCAAATCTTCGTGCATTGCTCTCCCACTCTCCGTGGAAATTGGAGGACGCATCTGGCGTAATTTGTCTGTCCAGTCCATGCTTCCATAGGTAGAGATGGATATCTGTTACAGTTTCAGGCTTTAATCTTATTGTATTCATTAGTCGTTGGACACACATATAAGTTTGCCTCATGCAGACACTTTGAACCTGAAATCCACGCCGAACTAAGAACGCAAATCGTGTTACGTGAATGTTACTGTGTTTCTCGACTGATTGACTGACTGCTGTGCTGCTGAATTGCCAACCTGCCAGCCAGTTGGCNTACGATGAACTGACGGTCGTAGTTTCAAAACAACATATTTACTATCGCATTCACTGTTCAGCATTTATACGCCGCGACAAAACGCATATAACACATAAGTGTGATTATTACGTGTACGCGTGTATGCGTCATTCACTTCGTCAGCTCCTAAAACGCGGATGTACCTAGGATAGGATTTACGCTAGCCTGTATGGCAGCCACAGGACCCCCAAAAGCGGTCGGACGCCCATGGTTTTATCCCCGAACTAGCCTAGCCTCAATCATAACGCTCGATGTGCGTTATTCGCCCAGATTTACTGCGGACAAGTATGATAAACAGTTTTACAAACATTACACTGAGGGGGAGTAACTAAGGTAGCGTGATGGGTGAAACACTAGATGATTCTGTGTTAGTGAATGGACCCTAATAAGTCTCTCCGTAAACTGGCTAAATTGCTGTCTTAGCTCACAGCGCGAGACATTCGTCTGTGGATGCTGCAGGCCCTTAATAAACTGTCTGAGTCACATTGTGGGGCCTTCTCATATCTCGTGTCCCTTAAATGGACACGATTAGCTATCGGTTTTCCCAAATCTTCGTGCATTGCTCTCCCACTCTCCGTGGAAATTGGAGGACGCATCTGGCGTAATTTGTCTGTCCAGTCCATGCTTCCATAGGTAGAGATGGATATCTGTTACAGTTTCAGGCTTTAATCTTATTGTATTCATTAGTCGTTGCACACACATATAAGTTTGCCTCATACAGACAGTTTGAACCTGAAATCCACGCCGAACTAGGAGCGCAAATCGTGTTGCGTGAATGTTACTGTGTTTCTCGACTGACTGACTGACGGCTGTACTGCTGAATTGCCAACCTGCCAGCCAGTTGGCCNGCTGTGCTGCTGAATTGCCAACCTGCCAGCCAGTTGGCCGAAAGTCGCATGTATAGAAAAGTGACACGGTGTTTATCACGTGAGGAAAACGACACCACAATCAACAGTACACAGCGGACAAAATCATCCGCTGACGGCTGGTGTGAACGGCAGTGCGCATGATATGCATTTGATCCTCTCGTTAACACCAATTCGGTAAATGGGCTACGTGCACTGATGATCTCAGTAACCATTTGAGTAGGGTCCGAAGGCTGGATTTCAAATGTCAGCCAGAGTAAGACTCCGTAGCGTGCAAGAGGAGAAGACACGTGCTCACGTGATTGTCAGTGCATAGAACAAAGAATGACAATGGGTTTTCTGTCAATATTGCATGGGAATTAATGACATAACTTCAAAAATCCTACCAGGTGAGTAGGTTAAAACAGCGTGCGCCCGACATGATTTGAAGGTTTAGGTGGCGAATGCAAAATTTGTCACCGATTCTGGTAAATACCCAGGGAAATAGTTGAAACGAAAAAGAAAGTCGAAGTTTTTAATACCAGAAAACAGTGGAGAGTGTCTCAGGGTCCTCGGATGGCTCAACAATCATGAGGATAAACTCGTCCCAGGAATTCTCACTGCGGCTTATGTTACTGCAAATCACGATCCCCACGAAGCGCACCTCACCACATTCATAACCCAAGGTATGGTCAGTCCACAAACTAGATCAGACTTCCTTAGCTGCATCAGAAACTGTCTCGCTAACATATTCGCATGGATTCTTGTTCAGTACTAACTTTTCCATTAGCTGCATCAGAAACTGTCTCGCCAACATGTGGATTCTTGTTCAGTACCAACTTTTCCAATCAGTGCATGGACAACTCTTTGTTCCATCGTTTTGTTAGTAGTACTGCTCTTTGAATAGTGTTCGAAAAGTCATGGAATTGTTTCGACGTCTCTTGCGGCAAATTTATTCATGTAAGTTGTGGTAAGCTGGATGCGTTGGTGACAAGCAAGTATTCGTCTTTATTGCCGTAGAGCCAAATCTGACGACACCGACCAACAGGCGGCAGAGTCGACTGTGCAGAACTTGCTGTAATCCACTGTCATAAATGTCAAAAAAGCATGTCAGGTTTTCAGTCTGAGATGTTCAAGTGTAGCGTTTCTGAGTACATGAGTAGGTGTTTATCAAACCTTTGCCCCGAACAAACACTTCTCCCAGGGATTCGAATTCGTACTGAGCCTTTAGTTGGTCATATACATGAGAGGGTACTTGAACGATGCCTGGTTTTCCAGTCATGTGCATTCGACTTGCCACATTTACTGTGTCTCCCCAAACATCGTAGAACGGCTTTCGAATACCGATAATTCCGGCAGTGACTGCACCACAATTGTAGCCAATTTTCAGTTCGAAGTTCTCAGAACCAACGATATAGTTGGCGTTGAATTCTTCCATGGCATCTATCATCAGAAAACAAAAGTCCATAAGTGCGACCAAATGAGTTTTACTGTCTGCCGTTTCGGCTAGTTTATTCGGATTCAGTCCAGATGCAGCCATATAACAATCGTTCATCGTCTTTATCTTCTCCACCTCGGCCAGTGTTGGACGTGACAGAAGACCATCGAAAGAAGAGATAATAGCATTAAGTAGCACAAGAGCTGATTCACCACCCTTGTAATCCTCACGGTAATAGGTGGAGAAAAAGTTTGAAACGGAGGCAAACATCACACCCGCATTTGGAAGTGATACTGCGTACGTCCAAGGCTCTTTGACTGGGTCTTTGCACAGCAACATCACCCGATTTAGCACGTATGGAGGAACAATATTTTCCAGGAGATCGCGCGCTTCTTTCTCCTCTTCATCTGCTCTCTGACGGGCCGACAAGGCTTCACGAAGCGCACGAAAACCGTGACGACAAGAATGATGATTTAGTCGAGTGATGAAATACACCATCAACAATATAGGGAACCATTGTAATTCTTCAAGCTCAACGAACTCCTCTGCGACAACTTTTCCCGTCCAGTTAAGTACCAACCGTAGTGTAATCAAAGTCAACAGACAACCAAGTGAACGTACGATCGCGCTAGACGTCGCAGGGAGAATATGAATACAGGTGACCAGAACTTGAAGATCGAGCACCAGTCTGTTGACCAAACCACTTGAATACATCTGCCCAACAGTCCACTGTAGCCAAAGGACTAACCGAATCGTTGGTATACTTGTAAGCAGAAACAGCGTGCACTCCTTAACAAGCTTCAGGCTGATTAGACGCAGTTTACCTTGTAAACATTTCGGTGAGATAGGATGTTCAGTGTACCAGATCACCAGGGTAATTATAACAGCTTCACAAATGACTTCAGCAATAGAAAAGAGCCTAAAGCCCAGATGGATGGGGTCGGATTCCAATACAGACAACCAAGACACCATTAGTGTAAACAAACACATACCAACAGTACCAAACACATCAATCGCATAGGAATACTCCAACGAATCCATGTACACCGGCCCTTCATTCGCGTTATCCGGGGATCTATCTGACAACTCGGTTAACCAGAGTTGAAACAACCGTGTCCCAGATTTTGTTGGTAACTGGTCGGAAAATTTCATCAAACCTTCCTGTTGTCCACGCATTTCGTTAATTATGGTCAAGAGGGGGCGATACAATTTGGTTTTGTCTTCGATTCCCACAGGGGTTCTCAACTGGTCGCTTCGCCAAATTGAACGGTATTGCTCCGTTGAAAACGAAGTGTTCATTACCCCTTCATCTACAGTTCCTCCATCTTCAAAATCGACAATCGAATGGGGGAAATCATCAATCGAATCCAGCTTTCGCCGAGCTTTTAGTCGTTGGAACAGGGTGATTGATTTTTCTACCGGGGCGTTATACAACACAGAGGAACGGGGATTGACGAAAAACGATTTTATCCTTGTCCTACCTAACACCATCCCAGCTAGACCAGAGCGAATCTCTTGCTTCACGTCCAACCCCGGACCAGTAGCCACTTCGTATACGTGCTTCACCAAAGTATAGGTCGCCTCAGAAATATGCACGCGACCAGGCAGTCCACAGTTTGCCAAGGCATTCGCAATTGATACATCGTACGAATAGACATCATATCGGAAACGTTGCTGCCCAATTATAGCAGCATTTACTTTTCCCGTGTGAACGCCAACTCTTAAGTTCATTCGTTCTTGGTAAGATTTGTTGAACCGCTTCATAATTCGGCACAGCCCCAGACCCATTTCAACACATGCCTCTGCATGGTTGGACTGTGGAACAGGACATCCGGCAACACAGTAATAACAGTCACCTAATGTACCGATTTTTTCACAATTGAAAATACCACAGAGGTCGTCGAAATAACGATACAGATCGTTGAGTAAACTAACAACTTGTGTCGCTGATTTCTGCGCACACACTTGTGTAAATCCCGCAATATCTGCAAAAAGGATACTCACATTGTCCATCGATTCCGAATAGATCCACATGCGTTTACCTTGCCTAAGTTTCTCTTTTCGTAAATGCATGTATTTCTTGCTCACAACAGAAGGCATAATTGTATCGATCCAACGAAACTGTTGGGAAATCACTTGTTTACCCCAGTCACGAGCCTGAAATGCTTCGATCATCCGCAGAAATGCGGCTCTTCGTCGTAACCTAAGCCTAAAACTGGTAAATAGAATAGTAAAGATTATACCGATACATTGAAGATTGTGTATGAGCCGTTCTGAGTGCAAGAAGTCAAATGGTATAGTTCTTGCTCCATCATGATCTATCGCTGTTCTATTCACGGTTTCCATCTCCGATGGACAGATGAAGATCACAAAATTTAGCGTCACACATGCAATCATTTTAATTGCGGAAATCGCAACTAGGACTCGCCAACTCATAGGAAACAGTATAAACAAGAGCATATACAAAGGAACTGACGGTAAAATCGCTCCCTGCACGGCAAATAAAAGCTCCAATACCATGGCGATGAGCCCTCCACATAAAGAACAGACGGAGTATGGAATCGTAGGGAGTTTTGAAAGGGTTGTTGTGTACATTGTCAACTCCCCTGTGATCAGTATGATAGCTGATGAAAACCATGGTGCTTTCAGGGAATGGGATTGTATCAAGCATGCGATCAACCAAGAAAGTGTCATTGCTATCAAGACTTTGAGAGCAGCACGAATAGAATAGATGGTATGTGGGAGAGAAACTTCTTCAAAATAGTCCTCTAGCACATAACATCCAAAGTTCCATATCCGGCGAATTTCACCACATGCCAAACGGATACGGTTTGTAAGGCTGGAACCAGTCCGGGAGCTTAAATCCTGTGTAAGATATATATCAAAATAGCCCGAACTGTGCCCGCCATTAGCTCCATGTTTGAGTCCTGAACTAACTGCACACATGGCAGAAGTCACTGCAATACGGTCTATTACGCGACACGAATTCGACCTGGGAAAAATCGATTCTGTAACGTGATCAACCAGATGCCACTAAAGTTCGATAGGATGACAGGATGCAATAATGGACCAAAGTCTGTTACCTGAGAAAAAAAACGTCAAACCTACAGAGCAACAGTTGGTGGTACACGTCGTCAACTATTCTCCTCAGGATTCCCCTCAAAATAATGTTTGACGGTGAGTGTTCGACTGCATGAGTGTTCTGATGCAATGAGCAGAAGGATAGGAACCCCTGATTAGACTTCGACTTGTTCGAGCCCGCAGTTTGTGTCACTGATTCCTACTGTCACTAATTTTTTGGGAATTGTGGAACAGAATTCAGCGTTGTAGAAAGAATGCATTCAAAGTGTTTGCTTCCAATAGGCCTTATTAGTGCACAGGTGATGATGGCCATAATACAACTCACAAGGTGTGTGCACTAACAACAGCCTTTACGGTGGTTGACAGTAGTTTGCAGAAGCGACTTGCACCATGTATAAAATAAGGGCAATATAGAGTCTGGAGCAAGTCAACAGGGAACTTATCGTATACGAGAGTGCCTTGGCGAAAGTCTGGACGGTGGGAACGTGTTTTCTCCGCAGTTTGGTTGCTAAATTTACTCCATAAATGTCCATGGACTTGGAATGTTTGGCTGGCTCCTTGCTCCCTGCGCGCGCGTGAGTCTGTGTGTGCTGACTGTGTTCGGTTTACCTATACGTAGGTCCGTTTACGTGTACGTGGGCGCGTCAGCGCATAATTAGTTGCTAAGCTGACTAGACGATACAGGCAATCGGTGTCCGATGTGTCAGCTCAATGTGACGTGGTTTGAGTATGGAAAAAACAAGTCTGGCTATCCAGTGAGCGACAGTAAGCTGAACAATCAAGTATGTGGGTGACCGGGTGGCTACAGCCTTTACAAGTATTCTGTGCATTTGCAATTTTACGACGAATTTCACGAGTGTGCTAATTTTGGCTAGACCCTACGATAGATTTCAGTATTTACCTTAACGTGTATCGGTTGTAAGCAGATACCATTGGGCTGAGGAACTGTTCCTGTAGGTAGGGGTTGCGTTTACTTCGGTAGATACATGTAATAGTGACATCACTGCTAAATGAGAACCTAGAAAATGTTGTCAGGGCACATAAAACTTCATGTGAAACTAGCTCTCTAGAAGGCAAAGAAAATTATTGAGTAATTTGAGAAAATGTCCGATCGAAGGAGTTTGTCACGGGATACGAGCGACGTTGGAAGTGGATTATCCCTTTGGAGGCCAAGAATGCAGTTCAGAACGACGGCTCCAAGTTCTACAGAGCCAATCACAGTGAGCCATTCTCCAGCGGACATATAAGAACGCTCAGTCATACATTAAGAGGACGGTGAACGACGCTGCTCGTAATCTAACAAAAACGCATGATTTTGCTTTAATAAACTTAGACATTCATGAAGCGCAGTGGGTTCTTTCGGACTGGCTTCCCAGAACGTAAAACAAGCTGCCTGTACAAAACTCCACGCCGTCATCCCTACCTACAAACCAGATTTTCACGATACTTTCGCACGCAAAGCAACCTAAGCCGACTCGCACTACGAAGCTTAGCATGCGTGTCGGAATCTAATGGCCCAACACCCGATGATCCCTGTTCACTCAAACTACTGCGATTTACACACAAGACAGAATATGTCAGTTTTGGAGATGCAACCTACCGTTGTTGCTGAAGACCAGGTATTACGCATCTAAGTTTTTGAGAAGCCGTCACGTCGACAGCAAAACTGGACGAAGTGCCAAAAGTACTTCCCAGAATCGGCTAAAATAATCTATGACCGTTTTTTCGGAAACATAAGGTGCTGCATCGTACACATTTGAAAACTGACAGGTCGTGTTTCTTTAGTCTAATCCTGAGAGTAGCAGTAGAAACAATCAAGCAACAAGTAAATCAAAAGGTAAGTGGCTCGACTTATTCAGGTACTACGTAGACAATCAGACACTGCCACTGATATTTGAAGGCGATTTCAACAACATTGCGGGTCGCAACGGATAGCTATAGGAGACCAACGTAGTGGAGCCATTATCTTTACCAGGACTTGATCCGCTCCAACCTACTCAGTGCAGGGTGAAAGAGGAAGAGCAGAAGAGAAAACTGAAACAGTGAGAAAGTTTAGGTAGGATGACCAGATAATAGAAAATGAAAATAGCAAACACTCGTAGGTTTGCTATTCCTCCGGTCGGAAATTAACTGTGAGACTTGCGCAAAAAAGACGGCAATATGCTCCATAGTTTGTAACACCAACTTGACAGAAGGAACAAGAAATTCGAACAGCAGACCAACTGGCTAGGCCATATGTCCATGTTATTGTATCTACTTGAATCCCACTACATCAGCCCAGCATATCCACCACTGGAATTCTAGGTTACACTGGGGCTCACATTCTCAGCTCTACGCCACTGACGAAGGGATACGGCACGACTGGCATCAACCGACGTCAGCCCTTTTTTCAAAGAAGGCTTTAGAACCTCGTGTGCTAACTAAACGGAGGACGTAGTGTCTAGCACGTCCTAGATGCTGACATGTCTCAATGCATTAACTATAGAGACCACTAAAGAAGAATAGCGTGCTTTTACCAAGGTTGATATTTTCATGGGACAGACACCAAAGCGCCGATACATTTACAGGAACTCAACCACCCTAATGTTTTTGGATAAGGCAATCGGAAAGCTTCGTGAGGCCGATCGGCCGGTCATTGCGAATAAGCATCTCAATATTTTGAAAGCTCCGTATACTCATTCAGCGTGTAGAGTGAGAGCATCCAGATATCTGTGTGGGACCTTCTTCATATCATCCTTCATTCTAAACTTCATGACTGACCCTTAGTAGCATGCTAATCTCCAGATGCTGTTCACCAATTTGAGTCTTTAGGAAAGAAATATAGATCATGACCAGAAGCACTTTTTATCTTCACAACCAAGGTACGAGGCCGGATTGGGAATACTCCGACCACCTATAAAGCAGATGACCTGCTCAAGAATGTTGACAAGCCTAACTACTGAAGTGTTTCATGCACTGACTGAGTAACCTATGAAAAAACATAAGATGCTCTTCACTCGCTTCATTTCGACACTCTGGCATGTTTAATTATCGACCAAAGACACAATTTGTAGTGCTTCTGCGCTGCCTATCCCTTTTTACGTTTCAAAAGTTTGACCCCTCTGCGAGGAAGATGCAAATGGGCTGTCGAGCTTTGACTGGCCCCCATCAAGCTAACTGATTGGACTGGCAATCAAGCAGAAGATATGGCAATAGACCAAGTGCAAGCCCAGTGACCGATCAGCCAAAACTGTCTATCCCCGAATAAAGCATGTTCCTCAAATGTTGAGAGATGGACTGACACACAAGTCCTAGTTAGCTGGAAACTGAAGAGTCGTGGTTAGTCACTGACTAAGATTATAGATGCCTTGGAAGCTCCTTCTGATAAAATTGTTGTCTAGTTGGGCAAGAGGCAAGAGGCTGGAGACAATTTTTGATGAGGTAGATTATCAAAGCAACCACGGAGCCTCTACCTAAATACCATTTTGCCTGCCGTAGGGTTCAGACATCTATTAATTCACGGGGTACCCACTCATTTTGCTTCTATGACCCTCGATTTTTGTGCATGTTCATCCAACCAAACGGGAAACGAGCAGAGTTTATAAAGACTGGTGTGGCATCCGCAAAATAACAGGAGTGGCGCTAAGTGTAACCCACGGCATGCCCAATCCGCTTAATAACCGACAGCACTAAAATATCGGGAATTTGCAAGCGCTGGCGCTGTTTTTGCGTTTTTTTTTACCTTACTATCGTGGTGGTGAAGTAAACTGGTTAGCTGGTGTTTCTAGCATAAGCATAGTGTATTATGCTTATGCTGGGGTCTGTCTGTAGAGCTCCATTGAGATTATCGCTGGAAAAACTTTACGTACAATACTGAAAATAATATTATCCATCAGGTGTAAAAAAGAGCGTTCAGATTTTGTGGTAAATAAACCTCTGAGGTGTTCAAGAGTTAATAGAAAACCTTTTCGCCAGTAAAACTGGAAAACTGAGTGAGATAGAACATAGTTATTGAGCTGCCGCCTATGCCTTGCCTGCATATCCATCGACAGTGGTCGCACGATGTTTTCTTCGATGATAAGTCAGAATTAAGTGGGGGTCTAAGATTGTACTGCAGTTTCTTGAGATCACTATGGCCTAATAAAAACGCGATGAAATAGACACCTATCACGGGTGAACTTCGCATAAAATACCCAGGATTTTCGTGAGTATTTAGGCTCGTCTTAGGGACGAGGCATCCTTCTCTGGCTATACTGCTCCCTTTCTCTCTCCCTTTCTCATCCGTAATATTCTTCAACTAATTGTGCTCCACAAAGGCCATGTAATGTGTATTCCGGGTATTGGAGCAAATTTCAATCAGGTCGATGAAAACTCTGGACAGCTTGGTACCCGTTTCATCATTCTTAGGGTTCGTCAGTTAGGCCTAATCTCTAAAACTCGATCAGGCATAGCTCCGAATTGATGGATACTGCAAACGGAAAATCCATTCTTCGTCCAGGATCTGGTATAAGTCACACTACTACCAAGTCTCTACCTACTTTTCTTGGCGGCCGACTTGTGCACTCCCTCTTCTCACCACTTATGAAGTGCGGGTTTCTGGTTGTCTATCCTGTAGGGAGAACTCATTGTAGTTGTTATACTTAGTTTTGTATTCATAGTCCCTGTTGGAATTATCAAAAGAACTGCAAATTAACTACATCGTAAGCAAGCGTGAACATTTCTTTTGGAATGACGCCCTAGTGTTTGCCGTGTTTAGCACACTTCCGATACCTTCAGGCGCCCCTGTTTTGTGTGGACCGCCGATCCAGGATGCAATCAGTATCCACCTTCGTTTATGCTCAGTTGTCACCTAGTGTCCAATTTCTCGAAACTTAGGCACCTGAAGTTGTTCTGCTGTTCGGTCGACGTATTCTGTACACAATGCTGAAACTACACTCGTCTACAGTGCCTAAGGATGGGTCGATGGGTTCGTCATAAAGTTCCCGAAATGGACACCAGGCCCAGGGTAAAGGTAATGCGAAGGTCCGAGGTATGGTCGTGTTCCAAATGGTCTAATTACTTGATTTAATGTTGTAGGATCTCCAGAGATACCACCTAAGATAAAGACTTCCTCCTCCAAAATTCGCGCTACAATGCAGTACAATCAATAGCTTTTCCATAAAAAGCCTTCGCACTGATTGGCTAGACAATGTAAACAACGCTTCCGCTCGGCCGATGTAACTGTAGAAAAGTAGATCATCATTATCAGCTGTAATAACCACCTACTTGTCGCACACTGACTGTAGCTGCCACAATCTCCCACGGATGATTTGGGAAGGTGGGGTATACAGCTGCGCATTGGAGGCGGGAGCTGATAAATTGGTGCGCAAATACAGAGCTGTCAGTGGGATTTTAAGTGGGTGGGGGTGAGATGGGAGCTATTCATAGCTTGGATGCACGAGCGCCATTAAGTGCGCGACTGGGCCATGTCTAACAATGTCTCTAGCCGTTGATGTGGCCCGTCTGGGGATCCCCATCCAGGGAAACGGTAATGATCAGCACAGTTGATTTTGTTAGCAATGGCTTTCACACTTCGCTGCCAAGTCACTTCCCCCGGCTCGTTTCCACCCTTCGCGTGGTTCTGCAAAAGAACCATTCGAGGAATTCGGTCGACCGGCATATGGAGCACGTGGCCAAGCCAACGCAACGTATGAAGTGTGATCAGTTCTTCTATCGTGGGTGGGTCATTTCTTCCGAATACCATTCGACGTATTTCAGCATTGTTGACCCTGTATTCTCACCAGACTCGGGCAATGCTCCGAAGACATCAGTGGTAAAATACTGAGTCTTTTGACGTCCTCGGCGCGCAGCGACTAGGTTTCTGACCTGTATAGTATTACGGAACGCACCAGTAATGTAATCTCGACGCTTGACGGAGAAGCTGATGTCACGCCTACGCCACAGTTGACGCAGGTTCATAAAAGCTGCTCTGGCTTTCCCAATCCAGAAGAGAATATCTTCTTTCGCTGACCTTCATCCGTCCTAACCAGCAAGCACATTTGTAGTCCAAATATCAGTAGTACTGAAGTCCAACATTATGCCTACCTTGTAGTGACTGTCGTCAGCTTGTCAACAGTACGCGACGCAGGTTAGGTAACACGTATCCATGATAGGGGTGAAATACAGGCTTTGAGATAGTTCGTCGGCAGTCAATTATTCCACAATGCAAGCAAGCACTGTGTATACGTGTGCGTCAAGTAAAATTACCGTATTTCTGGCACGTTTCTGTCACGCACTGCGGTAGGAGACATTTGAGACTAGCAACATACACTCCGATGAACTGTTTCTGGTCTAGAATTCACGGTTGAAAATAGTGCCGCGGAATGTGAAACTCTAGGACGTTGGAGACACGACATTCCATCAGACCGTTCTCTATTCCATTTTTTTTGCCGTCTTTCATTCAGTTATTTGAAAAAATACACTGTGTGGTTTAGAGTCACGTGGAGCCAGACTAACTAATGAAGTTTTTGAGAGGTCTGCGTCAGCTGCTGCATCGTTCTGACGTAAGCATCCTAGTTCAGTAACTTCACAAGCTGAATGCACCAAATGTGTGATTCGATTCTGAAATTAGTAATCTATAATAATAATTAGTAATTAGTAATATATACGCTGTATCAATCACCATATTCTCCATCCCCTCTAGGTTTTGACAAACATTTTGGGTGATTCGCAATGGAATTTTCTGCACTCGTTTTTGTTCAATTTAGCTTTTTTGCTGCTACGCAATCACTCAGAATCATATCTCGACACGCCACTTTCACATGTTCACAGTGATGAACTGCTCGGGATTCTCTGGCT